CGGCCCGTGGGGTTCCTTAGCACAGCCTCTCCGAGCCGCAGTCTCTTCACCTGCGAGGGACTGAGCAGACGACCTTAGGAGAAGCTGGGAGGAGGAAGTGTGCGAGTATGTGTAAATGTGCGCACGTGGCGACGAGCCAGGAACCCCGGCCAGCGACTTCTACGCCCACTCTGTCTTCCTGACTCCCCCAGGCACACAGTAGGCCCTCAGGAAATATTCGCCAGTGATTAACTCAGTGATGTACTGTGTGCCTGGGGCTGAACCCCCTTTAAAACCCAGAAGAGTGAGGAAGGTTTGCGGGTGCGGAAGGGAGGCCCGCGCCTCAGCTGGGACAGCCAAGGCTCGTGCATTTTTGCCTGTGAGATCCGGGCAGGCCTCTGTGCAGGAGGGGTTGGGCAGAGACGGGAGCTGGGCCTGGGGTGAAGGACAAACCATCCTTCTGTCCTGCCCAAGGTGAGATCCAACCGGGCTCTGAACCTCCTTCGGGGTGAGCCAAGTGCGGAGCGGGGCCTCGGTCAAGTGTGACGCCTTGCTGTGAAGTGACAGACATCTGTAAGCATAGCATGACTTGGGGACTTCCAAAACACGTCCGCCCGCGGCCTGGTTGGCCGAGCTGTTGTCAGATGAGCGCTGAACCGTCACGCAGCAAACCGTGTCCTTCCTCGACCCCCGAGGTAATGGTGTCAGCCCGTGTCCTGGACACGCCCGTGTCCTTGGGGTGGCGCGACTCACTTGCTGCATGTCTGGTTTGCGCCAGGTCCTGGGCTGGGACTTGGCAGTCAGGGTTCATGGGGAAATGGCTCTAGACAGGGACAGGGCTGCCCAACATACAGCTGGGCGGTCCGAAGGAGGCAAGGAACAGGAGAGTCGGTGCAGGGGGCACAGCCGGGGCAGCCTGCAGAGAGGATGGGCCCGAGTGTGCTACACAGGGAAGCCGGCCAGGCTGGGGGGGTGACGTCCAGAGGACGGAGAAGCTGGGGCAGCTGACGCAGCCGGGAGGCTGGCTCTTGGCTGCCTGGAGGGTCAGTGTCTTCAAGAAATGCACCGGCCCAGTGTGGCAGCTCCAGC